ACAACAATTTCCTCTAGGCTCTTTTCTCCCACTGTCTAAGTCAAAAGTACTCAGCCAGAGGATGCCCAGAGTAAAAGTGTGGGGATTGGGAAGTATGAGTGACAAGAAGACGCTGTGCTATCCTGAGGTGAGCCCTGCTGCTGGGGATCTGAAGGGAAACATGTGGAGGTGAGGCTGGACAGGTTTGGCAATCAGTCCCGTTAGCCCTCCCAAGCTGTGTGCGCACACTTGAACTAGATGACTGTGAAGGTATGGAAGGAGTTTTAGTCATGTTCGAAGTCCTAGCACACACACACCTGGGACCAGGTGTATTCCTTGCTCTCCTGCTCTGCACACTGATGATGCTTGGCTCCCATGGTCTAGTGCTTTCTTTGCAGCCAATGCTGCCTGTTGGGCCTTGCTCTAAATCACTTCTTCCCAGTGCTGCTCCCAAACCATCAGGAAGTCCTTACCCAAAACATTTAGTCTTTGAGATCAGTAAGGAAGCCATCATTAAAAAGGCAGAACTAGGCCGGGTTCATTCCTGTAATCCTATCTACCTCGGGAGGCAAAGATTCAAAGCCAGCCCTGGGCAAATAGTTCATGAGATCCTATCTCAAAAATACCCAACACCAAAATAGGCTGAAGGAGTGGCTTGAGTGGCAGAGCCACCCGCCCAGCAAGCTCAAAGCCCCAAGTTCAAACCCCAGTACAATAAATAAGACGAAAAAGCAAAACTAAGCTTGAAGTGTACATTGATTTCTGGTAACAGAAAATAACTGTCTACTTGCCTTCCTACCTTCCCAGTTGAAGACTGGAGAAGTAACTTACTCTAGTCTTCTGATCCAGGCCCCTGGGGCAACGGGAGGTCCCTTACACCAGGAAGTCTGTCACTCAAGCTGCAGTCCTCCACATTTGTCCTGAACTGGGTTTTCTTGCCCAGTTTCATTGGCACAAAGTAGTACAGTGAACTTGGGAAAGGACCCCACCAGCCTCTCTGCTCACCTCCCATCTGACCGGCTACTGTACACCTTTCCCTCAAGCATCTCTGGGTCTGGAGCGGCTCCTCAAGCGCTGGTGAAGAACCCTGTGCTCGCACCAAGCTCCCGGGACAGGGAGGAACACTGCCACCTGCAACTCAGCAGCTCAGCCTCTCCATCTGTTCCACAGCTGGGTAAAGTCCGCCTCCCGGTTTCTACGGCCTTTTCCTTTGCCACATTAGTCTTGGAACTTATCCCCCGGCTCTGGGGTTTGAAATTTTTCCCCCGTCTGAAGTCTACATAAATAAGGACTCATTTTCTTCCTTCTCTTAAGTTTCATTTTCCTTCCACTATATAACTCCATTAGGAATGTACGGATATTGCAAAGGTCTGTGCTCCTACCCCTCAGCTAACTTGATGTCACACCATGTGTTTCATTTTACTTCCCCATCCACTTATTGATGCTTGTTTTAATTACGAATTTATCCATTTAAACAGTTCTTTTCTGGGAACGAAGACATTTATGTAAGTTCAGTAAAGCCACAGCGGCTACCTAATTGTTTAACAGTTCTAGTGTTTGCTCTACGTGCATACATACATCCCTAAAATGATTTGCCTAAAACAATCTGGAGCACACCTGTAATCCCAGCACTCAGGAGGCTGGGGTAGAAGGATCAGGAGTTTGAGCTGGCCTGGGCTGCACAGCAAGACTCTGTCTCAAAAAAGAAACACGCAATCTGTGTGGAGTGCTCACTCGGTCTGTCTGTATCCAAAGCCACTGGCTAGGAACTCTGGTCTGTTTACTTCATGTGAGGTCCACTGGACATCACTCCTCCATCTTAATTTCAAGCAGAAAAGCCGAGTAACATCATTCACTGAAAAGCAACTTTATGAGAGAGGTGGTATGAATTATTCCTTAAAAACATAAATTTTGTTTTTTTCTGACACCCTCAAGCTTGCACCCCTGCCTTGACTTTAATGCAGTGCTGGGGATAGAGCCCAGGGACCTGGGTGCACCAGGCAAATGCTCTACTGCTAAACTACACCCCATACACGTCTTTGTTTTGAGACACATATACATGTAGTCCAGGCTGGCCACAAACTCTTGATTCTCGTGCCTTAACCTCGCAAGTGCTGGAACGACAAGTGTGTGCCACCACACCCAGCCAGTCCTAGATACATTTTAAAAACAAAAGCAGAAGCCAGGTGCCAGTGGCTCACGTCTGTAATCCTATCTACTCAGGAGGCAGCAATCAGGAGGACTGAGGTTCAAAGCCAATCCAGGCAAATAGCTTGCAAGGTCCTATCTCAAAAATACTCAGCACAAAAAAGGGGCTGGTATAGTGGCTCAAGATGTAGGCAGAGTTTAAACTCCAGTACCGCAAAAACCAAAAAGCTGAATAGCTGAACTTTAGAAGCTGTTTTTTTTTTTTTGGTTTCCTATTTAATTTACTGTAGTATGACAAGTAACTTAACCAACTACCTTCTGTGGAACTAATTTTCACTCCTCTATGGGTCAAGTGCTAGAGCGCCTGCCTAGCAAGTGTGAGGCCCTGAGTTCAAACCCCAGTACTACCAAAAAAAGACCCACCACCCTGCCATTTGGGGGAGCAAGGACTTCTGTTTGGGGCAAAGGGTACGATCCAGCTGGGCAACAGGTATCACCCACCTGAAGGAAAGCTGTGTCCTCAACAATGACATTTTTTGATATTTGACATGCCAGTAGAAACAGAAAGGGCCACGTAGAGTTAACAGATTCTTAAGAGCCAACAAAAAGTTTTTCTGGACAAAGAACTTTAAGCATAGCAAGGGAAGTAGCTTTTTTAAATGGAAGTTCTCCCCAGACAAGGTCTGGTTAGCTGTGTCGGGACATGGTGGCCTTCAGGTCTTCTGGCAAAGAGTCAAGGTGGCTGAAGCCAGAAAACAAGTCAGTTGTAAACAGATCACCACGTGTCTGCCCCCTGACTGTGGGTCTATAGAGAGGTCTGCCAGCTTCTTCCTGAAGCCTGGGGCAACTGTTCTGCTTTCTAAGGCAGCCTAGGACCAGGTGTCTGAGGAGCTTCTGCTCACTCGTTTATAAACATTTAGAAAAGGTAAACAGTGTGAGATTCTTTGCTACAAACACAGAAATATCATCAATGACATAACGAAAGGGGAGTGGAGAGAGGTCATGGGATTGAGTCAAGGGACACTGAGAACCCACTGGAGTAAGAATCACAGCCAAGCCAAGAGAATTTCACTTCAGCTGAAGAAAACGTACTTTCCAAGGCATTCTAGGGGCCAGGGTGGCCATGCAGGGAGGGCTGGTGGCTGGCGCCACAGGTATTTCTCACCTACATGATATTGAATTGTCATTCTCCTCCCAAGATAAGAAAAGGGACTCAGAGGTTAAGAACTGCACCCCAGGTCATGCTGCTGGCAAAGGGTGGAGGTCTGTTGGAGTCTGGAACACAGCACTCTAGTTGGTATCCCCTCTGCTGAGCTCACGCCACCCCCACTTCCTGGTACTTACCATCAGAGAGCAAAGTGTCCCCGGCTGCTCTGACAGCCAGAGATGCAGCATTGGGCAGCTGGCAGAGGCATGGCTAGCCTCAGAGCCAGCTGAGGTGTGAAAAAAACACGACACAGAATTATAATCAATGATCTTTATCTTTGAAAATGGAAGCAAGTGTTTTGACAGAACACTATGGCCGCTCTATAAGAGCCGATCTAGGAGTAATTCACTGTCCTCCTGCAGGATGTCACGGCTTTAAAAAAAAAAAAAGACGATGACTACAAAACAGGAAAAAGAATCCACAAAGCTTCAGGTGCCTGCTCTGAGCCTGGCTGGGCCTCCATTCATTAAATAAGTCAGAAGCCACACACTAAGGCCAGGAGAACTTCTTGCCCCTTCCCCTGAGCCCCGTTCCCTACCGTATTTCACCACCATCCACAGCAACTTTGTTAACTTGATTAATCTGCTTTCAGAACTTCAAAACATTTCTGAACCTTAGAGAAGCAGGTCCTCAGCAGGTTACATGAAGAAACAATGCAAGTTTGACTACAGGCCACTGCAGTTGTTTTCTTTACATCTCATTATCCACTCCAATATTAAAAATGCACACATACAGACACACAAAACCACATCAAACATTCAGCTACCCTGAAACTGTGGAGACAGAGACTCCAGTGTGGTAAGAACATGGTACTTTTTCTAGCAGACAGTCTCCCTAGCTGGGCCATGCACTCTTACTCTTAAGTGACTGCCACTACACTCCGCCTCCGTCCTGGCTCCTTGTGCATACCATGCTTCCAGTCAGCCCCACGCCCTCCCCAGCACAAGCATGTGCCAAGGACTCCCCTCACTGTCCCCATGGCACTCTGGGTCGTGCTCAGTCACAGACACTCAGTCCTTCAAGGGCAGAGGCTCCTCACTGAAGCCTGGTTCACAAACATGCACTATGAGAACAAGGACACTGAACAAAGTTCCAGCTGTCCTAGGGATGAGTGGGTGATCAGCACTCAAGCCTCTGTGCTCCACAGCCATTGTTAGGGTTAGGGTGCAGCTGCAGATGCCAAGCAGACTGGTTTGTGTGGAGGGCACAGAGGGACGTGTCTGTACATGTTTAAACTACAGCACAGTCTGCGCTCCTTCTGCTTCCTGCTAGACCATGCTTCTTGGTGGTAAGGACTGAAAGGCTGGAGGACAGGCAGGAATGGCTGGGGAGCCCTGAGAAAAGTTGCAGCAGGGAGAGGATTGGAAGCGCAGGAGCTCAGTGGGTGTAAGGGCAGCAGCTTCTGCAGCACAGTTCAGGGGACAGCAGGAGTCATGCAGGAAACGGGACCATGAGGCCAAAGCTTCCCTTCCAGTTCCCTGGGTTGAGTCCCCACACTGCACTCAAGAGCTTGGCAAGCGGCTGCAATGGGCAAGGACACTCACACCATGTGCCATCCTCTTGTCTCCAGCGCCCTTGCCAAGCACGGAAAAAACCTAACCTTGATGCTCAACGTGATGGGTACGACAGGGTCTGTGTGTAAGAAAACTGCAGAAACGCATGCTAGTTTGGGTTAGAGTGTAATCTGAAGCACAGAATCAAGCAAAACTCCATCTGGTACAACCACCCAATTTCTAGAAAAGAGAAAAGCAAGCAAGGAAGAAAGGATGTGAGCTCTTTTGATCAGAAGACTCAACGCAATGAGGGGTGGTAATGTGGTCCACGTGATTTTTCAAGTCTTCCTTTCGTACAGTCATTAAGATGACCAGGTTTGTGCTGTGAATGAGCCAGCACCGTGTGGCTACTGCTGATTGCTCTCAGGTGAGTGTTTATACAAAATAGTATCTCATCTTCATTTCGTTTATAAACATACACAGTGCTGTCCCTTTCAAACCAAGGAAAAAAACCACACACAAATACTGCAAAGTAGCAAAATACAAAGAAAAAAGCTACTTTTGGTTTTGGCAACATGAAAAAAGAAAGAAATATAAAAAGCAATGTGGCATTGGTCCCTAGTCATAAAAAAAAAAAAAAAAAAAAGAAAGAAAAAGGTACTTGGGCACAACACTGAATCAGAACTGGTTTGTTTTCTAAAATTCAGAACATCTGGGATTTTAAAAGTAGCACTTTTGTCTTTTAAAAGTTCAACAAGTCACATAACACTTAAAACATGAAAAAAAACTTTGATAAAAAGCTCAGCTCGTTTTTGCAAATTTGGGAGACGGATTGAGTTCTTACTGGAATGTGGCCTATCGCTGGCTGACAAATCTGAAATGGAATGTCTCCAAATGGCAGTGCCTCCTTTCCGCCCTCCCTGGGACCACACCAACAACCAGCTACCAAGCACGAGTTCTTGCTCCCATTTTTTGGAGGGGTAAGGGCGGGACCTTCAAGCTGCTATCTTCGCCATCTGCTGTTCTAACTTGGAAATACGCTCATCTTGATTGCAGATTGTGTCTTTTATAGATTTGATCTCTTTTAAAATCTCATCCAACTTGGCTTCATTTTGCTAAGAAAAACAAAAAAGGGGACAGTGACTAAAAAGCAGTAAACAAAGTTCAACACAGTTTGAATTTTAAGACTTAGAATGTAATTTTCTATTTTGCAAATGGCAAGTCATAGTCACCAAATTGAAAAAGAACAATCAACCCTACTATACCTGGGCTCATGAGTACACAACTGGTATGTACCAGTTCCATATGAAGCCCACAGCAAAACAAGTGTGTCTTACAGGGGGTCCCATGCCTGTGAACTACCTGGCTGGGCAGACTCAAGGGTCACAAACAGCAGGGCAGATGATCCCTGGAGGCTGCCCTGCATCCCACCCACCTCCATTCACTCTATCAGAGCAACTGCCACTTGACCAGGTGTGGTGTGACTCCTTTTAGAAGCTACAGAGCTCCTCCACCCCCTGTGAGGGTCTTGGTAGTGCAACCCAGCCCTGTCTGCTAATTCTTCCAAGGAGGGCTGAGCCTCCCCCTCTTGCTGCTAATTCTTTTGGAAACCTTGCAACCATCAAAGTCCATGGTGCTGGCCCTCTGCCATAGCCCAAATGCCAGCTACTCCAGGCATTTTGTCTTCTCACTGTCCTTACTTTCAGTGACAGTCCACTTTCCACCCATTCTTGTCCCTGGGCTCTGTTCTACAGCCCCTCTCCTCAGGGGACCTCCTCTCCCTGGGACAGCAGCACTCTCCAGTGACCACAACAGGCCTTTAGTGGTGGGACAGGGCTGAGGTGGGCAGAGCCTCCACTCATGGCTCACATACTGCCAGATCCTGCTGTTACAGACCATCAAGCCACAGCTGAGTTCTCACCACTTCCCCCTCCCAAGATCTTTTCGTCCTAGCTTCAGTGACCCTGCACTCCCATGATGTTTCATTTCTATCCAAATTAGAGAAGAATTTGGGAAAAACAATTAGGAAAAACCCACAGATGTCCTCCTGTTCAGTATCAGAGATGGCAGAAGACTGACATCTACTCCAGGCATTACAAAAGCCAGCGCTAAGAGAGCCAAGTGTGACAATAAGCTCGTAAGCCCCGCGCCCTGACTTTTACACAGCACGCGCTATCACTGATTAAAAACTCCCATGTGGTCAACAACGCCCTGGACCATGCCTTTCCAGAAGACATGGCTCGCCTCAGCTCCATGAATCCCTCGACTCCTGTGCTGCTTACCACAGTGGCCGTGTCTGCGGTTTTCCTGGGGACATTTATCGAGTCGCACTTCTTGTTTGCAGTGGGCTTGTTGTCCAGAATGTTCTTCTTCACTACTTTGAGATCCCTGTTTTTGCCTGGAATGTACCCATGCTTTAAGGAGATGAGGATTGGATCGGCATCCTTCCCCTCAAACCACTCTTCTGCCTCCAGAGCAGCTTCAGGCCCCGCTGTGTCAGGATACAGGTCATCTTGGAAAAGGTCAGACTATAACGGCAATAGAACAGAATAGAAATTCTTCAGTAAGAAAAAAGAAAATTCTGAGTTTTGTTTGTTTGTCATTTTTTTTCAACATGAACTTCCTAAAAACTGGGCACTTACCTTCCTGGGAACAGTCATGATAATAGGTTCACACTTTCTTTCATGAAGCTTGAAGAATCTTGAAAAGAAAAATAATAGCAAAGTTGCATAAGTGAAATAGAGGCTGGTAACAGGGTTGATAACTATTTTTGTTTTTTTACAGTGCTTGCTTCTTTACCTGTCACCTCATTATCCATCATGGCAGTAGGTAGAACGTTAAGTGTTCCCATTTTACAGAGGCAAAAACCAAGACTGAGAGTATCTATGTCAGACAGATTGGAGACAAGAACTATGAGGAGAGGGCCATGAATGATGGTGACAGTTAAATTGCAATTATCTAGGGGCAGACTGGTTCCAGTACAAAGAGAAGAAGATGCTGATAACTCGTTTATGGAAGTTACCATGTCACCAGGCATGAGAGAGACTGCACTGAGTATTTGACAGTATTGATGCCATGAGTACTGGATCTTCTGCTGGCTTCAGGTGGTGGAACATTGTGAAGGAAAAATGGGACTTTGAAGAGAGAAAAGGAAGCAATCAGGAAGATCTGCATCCAAGCAAACCACACCATGGAAAATCTGAAGTTATTCAAAAGACAGTGGGAAGATAGAGCAATGTGCAATATCTTATGGAAGAGGGCAAAAAATAGCTTCTAACAGGGAAAAAGGGGGTAGAATTTTCTTTGGCAACTTACAACAAACAAAACCAGAAACAGCTCTTATAATTAAGATGATAAGGGCAAGCCAATGTTTTTCCAGCTGGGACAGGGAATGATCAAGAGTTCTCTGGCAGCTGCTGGGAGCATCCAAGCCAGACAGATCCAACAGCTGATGTGCAGCACAGAACCAACAGAGGTGACAGCATCGCTGGGGAAGCACAGCATCTCTGGCATGAGATACAAGCTGAGAGTGGCTCTGGCTGGTGAAGGTGCTTGTAAAACGATAGGCATTTTTAAAAGCACTGTCATGGCAAACCTGCAACTTCAGTATTTCAACAGGAAGGGCCACAGACAAACCAAAAACATCTCAAAAGACTTATTTCATGAAAACTCTGTAGGACCGACTTCTAGCTCTACCACTACAGTAACTTTGAGGGTGGAACACTGTCCTGAGTTCCAAGTTCCTCATCCATAAAATGGGGACAAAAGTAACACCTGCCTCTCAGGGCTCTCATGAGAAGTAACAGAGGTGACCCATGTGGCATGTTTTCCAACATATAATCAATGCTCAACAAACAGCAAGTGTGCTCAGAGTCTTTTCAACTTTTAGATCAAAGTAAAATAAATGTGTTCCCAAATACTGACCTTTTTTTTGTGGTCCTGGGGTTTGAACTCAGGACCTTGTGCTGGCTAAGTAAGTAGTCTACCACTTGAGCCACGCCCCCTAGCCTGGATGTAATCTTGCTTAGATTGAATCTATTTTGGATCACATTTTGATTAGCTTGGTTTAAGGCACAATTTTAATTATCTGTGACAGCTTTCCTTTAGTACTCCAGCTAATTTTCATGATTGGGACATGAAACTTCAAGTCCATACAAACTTTGTATTATACTAGTGTGGGGAACCTGACAGTATGGTGCAACTGTCATTGATATCTTTTGTTGACTAGTGTTTAGAAAAAAAGCCTTCCTCCCAGGAAGCCTACTAGCATTATAGAGCAAACTTAAAAATCAGCAGTACTGAGCTGGGTGCTGGTGGCTCACACCTGTAACCTCAGCCTCAGCTAGGAGGCTGAGATTGAGAGGAATGAGATTTGAGGCCAGCCTGGGCAAATAGTTCGAGACACCTCATCTCCAAAATAACCAGAGCAAAATGGACTGGAGGTGTGGCTCAAGTGGTAGAGTGCCTGCTTTGCAAGCGCAAAGAGAGGTCAAACCCCAGTCCCACCAAAAAAAACAGCAGTACTGAAAGGCTGAAACCACACAACACAGCTGAACTTGGTAATAAGCAAACGAACCTCTACGCTGTCCCCCAGGAGCTTTGGCTTCTCTACTTTCGAACTCATAGCATCCATAGTCCTGTATGGAAACTGGTTATTCCCCCTAAACACAGCATGAAAACTGCCCCCATTTCTATCCCAGAGTCTGCTTGCCCACCAGATAACATTCGCTTCAGCCCCAACTTGAAGACAAGAGATGAAGATCTCACTATTTCACTAAGTGTGCAATGCACCTCCACCACACCACTTAACTGCCATGTTCTGTTATAAAGGTTAATAGATACTAACTAATTCCAAACCATTAGAGAATTACTGGGAGGTGTGTTGCTCCAGCACTATGTGGATGGTACAAATAACTGGAATGCTTTACAATATTGATTCTTTACCTGGCAATCTCACATTTGTTAACATCAAGTCCCCTCTTGGGCATGTAACCCATTCCTCGCTGAGGCTCCTTGCTGCTGAATGTGTTGAGGTAGTGAACATATGGGGATTCATCCGTGATCTCAAAATAGCGGATACTGCTGTCACCCTACAAGAAACCAGAGACAAGTCAGTGTTTAATGTTACCTGAAACATCTAGTTTAGGTGTGTGTGGGGGAGTCTCTCTTCTCTATTGCCCCAGCACCCAAGGAGATTCAACTTCAGTAGCTGACCTTTTCTTCCTTCAAAAGAGGCTTACCTAAAGTATGTGATTAAAGATTAAACCCTCACTATTTATCAATCACTAGTGTGCCCTTCAAGTGATCTCCTCTACCTCCTTTTGAGGGCTCTTGCTTTACTCCCCTGGGCTAGAAACCAGGTCAGAGTTAGAGCAAACACATTAATGCAACTGTATTGCAATTTAACATCAAAAATGAAGCAAACAGAATAGGAGGGTGGCTGAGTAAATCTAAGGATTTACTCACTAGCTAGGACAGCATCTTACAGACCTAAGGGCACTAGCACCAAGCAAAGTACAATAGTGACATTTTTCTAATTAAGAAAGACCAATTTTTGTGAGTATCCTTAAACTTCAAAAAGTAGTACTATTTCTCCAGATGTAACAGCTCACACCTGTAATTCAAGCTATTTGAGAGGCTGAGATTAGGAGGATCAAGGTTCGTGGTTATCCCAGGCAAATAGTTTGCAAGACACAATCTCCAAAATAATCAGAGCAAAATGGACTGGAGGTGTGGCTCAAGAGGTAGAGTGCCTATTGTAAGTGCCGAGCCCTGAGTTCAAAACCTCTGTCACACACACACACACACACAAAAGTAGTACTATTTCATTGCAACACGTAAAATCCTATGATTATCTTGCTTAGCATAGTCAGATTTTTTTTTTGAAAGCTGAAGCCTAAGGCATTTGCTAATCTAAGTGTAGGAGAGGGATACACACATACAAGAGATGACATAAACAGCAAGGTAAGCTGGGTGCAGTAGCTCACACCTGTAATCCCAACTACTTGGAAAACAGAGATTAGGAGGATCATGGTTCAAGGCAAGCGGGGGCAAAAAGTAAGACCCCGTCTCAATCAGTAAGCCAGGTGTGAGGACAAGTGCCTGTGATCCCAGTTACAATGGAGGCTATAGGTAGAATGATTGTGGTCTGAGGCTGGCCCCGGGCAAAAACATGAGATCCTACCTAAAAAATGACTACAGCAAAAAGACCTGGTGGAGTGGCTGAAGAGGTAGAGTACCTGCCTAACAAGCATGAAGTCTTGAGTTCAAACCACAGTATAGTCACCAAAAAAAAAAAGAAAGAGCTAGAAGGTCTTATGCCCTAATAAGGCCCTTGTTTCTCATAGTTTCTATTTATTTTGATGATTTAAAGATCTACAGCAACAGAACAGAGGCTAAACACATGCCAGTCATCTTCTGCATACCCAGAGTAACTTTCCGCCTCATGCTAATACTCTCTGGGCATCTCCTCATTGTGCTTGTTTTGATGCAGTCTATGGCAGCACGGTAGGACCTCTGTGCTTAACATATGCAGTAAAGTGACCTTCAAGGAAAAGACAAGATCTCAGGTTCTAAGTGAATGGCCTGAAGGCATGCAAAGCAGCGGTGCAGCATGTTCAATCAACTATGGAAAGGAAGACATCATTAGCAAGGCACTAGCTAACAGAGGTCCCTTTTTATTGGCTCATTTATTTCAACCACAAAACGTGCTAAGGGTAATGGACTCCACAAAGAATAAGGAATTTTGAGGTTACCACCTTTGAAAGTGACATAATGAAAACCAGTAAAGCTACCAGCCGTTGAGTTTGGTTGAGGTCATGAGGCAGGAGGAAGGTATTTTGAGTTCAGTGTGGTGTCTTTCTCTAACAGCTATCATTCCTGAAACTTCTGTCATATGAACCCCAGGAACCAGAACTCTCTGGAGAGCTGCTAAAGCCCTCAAAAGCTCATGTCTACAACACCACTCTTTTCTCCAATCCAGGCACTAAGGACATGCATGTTGACCTAGGATATCCAGGAGTGTTCAGCCTCAGAGAAGCAAACTAATTACTCATCCCTGATACCCATAAAATAGCTCTAAAGCCACCAATCACGTGGCACTGGAGGTGAAAACAAACACCCACACTCCCCTCTCTCTCACTAGGTTGCCCCGTCAGCACTTGTCCTAACACCCAAGCCAAACCCGCTTCAGTCACCACACAACTGGCAAGTTGGAGCAAGATTAAAACATACCGGAACTATCTGTCCTTATCCCAGCTGAGGGTTACTCACGCACAACCTAGATAAATTAACAAATGTAACTATACAACATATTGCCCATCTGCTAAAGTTTTCTCCTCTTTTATCAAGCATCGAGATTGCTGCTTACCTTTCCACACAGGTAAACGACGCTGGTGTCGGGGTCATAGAAAGGCAATAGCACCCCATTGCTTGTGTCCATCTCATGAAGAGCAATTGGTTCCTGCATATTTTTCTGCAAATAAATATATGTGTGTGGATATATTTTTAAAAGACACATTTTTGTAACATTATACATTCTTCAATTTAGTGGGCCATTTTCTATAATCTTTATACATGCATATGCCATACAGATCAAACCCATGGAAATTATATTGATTTGACCCGTAATTAATGAGCACATCGGTGTGAACCCATGATGAAGATGAGAGAGCCCTTTTCCTTTGTCACTATTTTCTTTTGTTTTTTTTGTTTTCAGTACTGGGGTTTGAACTCAGGGCCTACACCTTGAGCCACTCCACCAGCTCTTTTTTGTGTTGGGTATTTTTGAGATAGGGTCTCACAAACTATTTGCCTAGGTTGGCTCTGAACCAAGATCCTCCTGAGTAGCTAGGATTATAGGCATGAGCCACTGGTGCCTGGCCCATTTTCTTATTTAAAAATACTTTCTTCTTATTAAGTATCTGTGTGTAAGGGGAGAATCTGATCAAAGTACATGGTATACATGTATGGAAATAGCACAATGAAATAACTAATATACACTAATAAAAGGAATGAGAAAGCAAAAATAAATACATGAAGTACTTAGAAAGTACTGCCACTTTGGGCTACTTCCTCATTCCTCATTCTCTCACCCCCTCCCCCGTCTGATTTTTCCCATTTATGCTAGTTATGAACATTTTCCTAAGCATGACTATTTTGATTTAGAAGTCTGATCAGTCTCTATGAACTATAACTAAGTGCAGTATACTGGATTCTTTGTACACAGATTCCTTAGGGGTACCAAGAATGCATTTTGAAATACATTTGCCCGTAAGACTTCAGGGAGGACGAGAACGTTATATGCAATCTAAGACATATACTGAGAGTCCTACAAGTAATTTAGCAGCCCAGAGCCCTGTTCAGGACAGAGAGAAAGGTGGAGTAAAGCACAGCAAAGCGGGAAGGGGCCTACCGGACTCCAGAGCGCCAACTGCCGCTCACTCATGCGGCTGAACCCGGTGGTGAAGACATTACCATCAGCCAAGAAGATGGCTCTCATGGGTCTGGCTCCTTCGTGTGCTTTCTCCTTCTCCTGGGAGAGAAGAGAGGGCAAAGAGGCAGATTTCACACATTCAAGCTGCAAGAAGGGAAGGTGCACAGGGAACCCAGAAACTGGACCCAAATCCTCCCACATGGAGCCAGGTTCTCTTGGGAAAGACCTCAGTATTAATCATCTCCCTCCCCAAGAGGAAACAAAGCCACACCAAGTGATCTTGGTCAAGATCCCCTAGCTAAGGCAGGGCACAGTGGCTCATGCCTATAATCCTAGCTACTCAGGAGGTGGAAATCCAAGGTTCAAGGCCAACCCAAGCAAAAAGCTCACAAGAGCCCATCTCAACCAGTATGTTTGGTGTGGTTATGCACGCCTATCATCCCAGCTACACAAAAAGTGTAAATAGGAGGACTACAGATTGGAGGTGTGGCTCAAGTGATAATAGCTTTTCAAGCACGAAGTCCTGAGTTTAAACCTCAGTCCTACCAAAAACACAAACAAACAAAAAATGATTATGGTTTAGGCCTGCATAAATGTGAAACCCTATTTGAGAAACAACTAAAACAAAAGGGTTGGGGGGCATGGCTCAAGTGATAGAGCCCCTGTAAGCTCAGTCCCGAGTATCACAAGCAAGAGTGCCAGGATCCAACTCAAAAGTCTTACTCCTTTCACCACATACTGCTGCCAACCCAAGCCCAGTCACTGCAGACATGAAACATATGAAAGAGCTCTGCCAAGAGTTTGTTTGTCCAGATTACAGCTTCAATTTCACTAACATCATAGGACACAAAGAAGTCCTGTGTGGCTGGATATAGTAGCTTAAGACCAGAATCCCAGCTACCTGGCAGAGGGGTGTCCGCAGAGATTAGGAGGATGGCAGTTCGAGGCCAATCTGGGGAAAAGTTACTTAGACCCCCCATTCTCAATCAACAAGTCAGGTGTGGTGGTGCATGCCTGTAATCCAAGCTACAAGGCATCAGTAGGAGGACGGAAGCTAGCCCCAGGCAACAACATGACAACCTACTTCTAATCCTTAGATAACTTAGGTTATCCAAGACTAACTAAAGCAAAAAGGACTGGGGGCATGGCTCAAGAGGTAGAGTGCCTACTCAGCACACACAAAGCCTTGAGTTCAAATCCTAGTACTGCCTCCCCCCTCCCCAAAGTGTGGTCTGGTTAACCCCTTTGGAACTTCATCTGTTTAATGATGTAAGAGTGCACTGGGAGACACTAGGTGGAAAAGGTGCCAGGTAGGCACCTGACCATTGCCTGACCCTTTAGAAGTAATGCTGCCAAAGACCAACCACGTATCATCAGGAGGCGCCCCAGAGCTCCGCCCAAGTGACTTGTTCTTGGATTCAACACTTGCGGCTTCAACCCTGACTAAAGACCCAAATGTCCATCTGATGCATGACTCTGTTAAGGCCAAGTCTGGGTGGCAGAAACTAAGCCACTAGGCTGATTAGAGAACCCCTGCAGCTCTGTAAGGCATGTTGACAATTGTTTTGGGAATGGCTGGGTAAGCAACCAGTCAACAGTCAGCCCTAAGCCCTGAGACCAGAAATGTAGTCTGCTTTGGCTAACTAAACTTGTAAACTCTTAAGGATCAAACTGTGAACAGTGGCCACCAAGTAAGAGCACAGACTTGAGTAAAGACTGTAAATCACAACTCCAAGAAGACAAGCAACAAGGGATGTTAGTGCCCACACCAGCCTTTCCTTGGTCATATGGTGCCCATGCTCAGCAAGGGCCCTCTGGCCAGTACTCCTTGCTCATGCCTGGAGAGGAGTTGCCACCACTAAGCAGCTCCATCCACGGGGATAAGCCCATTCTGAGGGTACTCACAGCAACAATCTCTTGCTTCCTGGGATCAATGACTCTCACTTTCTTGTCTTTGGAAGCTGTGCAGATCAGACTGCCATTCCGGTTCCAGCTCACATTGTAGATCATGTCTGAGTGCATATCATCCAAGTTGATAAGGGCTTCCCCAGTCCCCACATTCCAGATGATGATGGCATTATCACAGCCTGTAACAAGCAAAGCAAGCCCCTGGCAGATTTGGAACACCTGTGCAACAACACATTCAAGTGCTCCGTAGCACTGTGAGGATGTATGTAAGTGCACTGGAAGGAGGGTGCTGACGACAAGGTCCTCTACTTAGTGGCAGACTGAAGTGACAAGGAAAAAAGATGTGCAAGAAAGACATATTTCTTTCCCAAAGTTCCCAAAGGAACTTGGAATGGCAGGTCATGCCAGTCAGGGGTGCTGTGAGATGTGGTCTCAGGATAGAAAGTCTAGTAAATTACAATAATGAAAGGGAAATGCAAGGACAACCTATTTGCTTACAAGAGATCTTTATCTTTAAAAGGGAAGAAAAATAGGTCAAGAGTGTCTTGATAGTGGTGAGAAGCCCAGACTATAGGCCTGGGGCTCAGAAACAGACCCCCAGAGAGGTTCATAATCCCTCATGGCCACTAGCTCTGCCCTTCTTTCCCTTAGTGGTCTGCCCAGAAGTCCTTTAAACAGAGGCGCCATGCTGTTGTTTCAGGGCTGAAGCAAAATACGATGGGAGCACTATCGGTGAGTTCTTGCCAATAAAGTGATTCTGCAAGTGCGTCAGAAAAATTAGCCAGTAATACCCACAACACCTAAGTTATCTAACAGTTAAAAGTAGGATATTTAAGGAAAAAAACTGCCCAGCAGTATAAAAAACTGGAGTTAAACTCTAGGATGGAGAGAACCCTCCTCTGCCTTAGTCCTCCTAAGCAGATGGTAGCTTCAGCCATAGCAGAAGGATCTCATAGTGTCAAAACATGCAGAGAACAGCAGTAAACCAGTCTCCCTCACTTGTAAAAGACAGAATGGGGAGCAGGCTACTGATGACACCCTACTGCGACCTAGATGAAGGGCAGCAGGAACTTTCCATGATGGGATTCCTCCTCTGCCAGTTCTTCCTCTTATTGAACTGAGGTTCTGAGCAGACCATCTGAAGGGTTCAAGAATGGTTGATGGTGATTACGAAAAACAGTATCCTACAGTGTCTGTTGGAAAGTGGTCCATGGTTTCAGTAAGTACCTGGCATTAGATTTTTTTTATTTAACTCACCATAAATCATAAACATCCTCTATTCCCAGTTAAAAACTGACCTCCCTTCTCATTTTTACCGCTGAGGGAAAAGATCTTGAGGATTACAGTTCAAAGCCAGCCCAGGCAAATAGTTTGAGACCTTAGCTCAAAAAAATCAATCACAAAAAAAGGGCTGGTGGAGTGGCTCAAGGTGTAGGCCGAGTGCAAACCCAAAAAAAAAAAAAAAAAATTCTATCACTAATATTAGTTTTTTTTTTTTTAAAAAGCTAGTATTTTTAAGATGTAATTTACATACACTATAAAGCACTCAGGATAAGCTTTGATAAATGTATGTGATCATGTAGCCACTACAGCAGTCAAAACAGTTGACCTTCAGCTCTCCCAAAGCTCCTTCATGTCTGCTGTGCTGCTTTTATGAAAGAAAATAAAACCACAAATTTGAGGAAAAGGAGAAGATTTCTGTAAGATAAAGGTGGAAAACACTCTAGTGAAAAGCAAGTAAGCAAACTAAGACTTAGACACAAGGGTTCATCACAGCGTTAACAGTGAAAATTCAGAAACTGGGGTCTAATTAAATAAACTGAGGAATATCCAGACAAAGCATTATTGTAGAATCATTACAAATACTGCAGGAACATTTAATAGCACATGAGACGGAGCACAGTATGAAGCCACGCGTACAGCGTATGAATCCAGCTGAGTTGTACAATTGATGTCAGTGCGCCTCACCACGGTCTTCTAAGGCTCTGCCTCAAAACTGTGCAGCACACAACCAAATGCATCTGTTGTCCACTTGCACAAGACAGGCTTTAAGAAGCAAAGACAAGGGCTGGGGAGTGGCTCAAGCAATAAGAGCGCCTGCCTAGCAAGTGCGAGGCCCTGAGTTCAAACCCAGTGCCACGGGAGGAAGAAAAAAAAAAAAGAAACTAAGAAGCAAAGACAAGGGGCAAGAAGGACTGCTCAGCTCCTACCTGCACTAAGAAGAACGTTGCGGGCTGTCGGATGCCAGGCCACGATGCCAACTCTCTTCGAGTGGCCTTCTAAGATCACCACAGGTTCAGTGAGAGAAAGGGTAAGTCCACTTTCTGGGATCTGCCATACCTGTTGGAAAAGGAAGGAAGCTCTTTATCACATTTACTGTGACCATTTACTGTGAAGACTTGCTCTGCTTAATCAGGACACATGATGCTATCTGAATGAAAGACACTGCACATTTCACTGTGAAATGGCTGTGTACAGTTGTTTTAAAAATGTAATATATTAAAGATCAGAATATCAATAAGCCTACAAAATGCTACCTCTCCTCCTTCATTTAGTATTACATGGGATTTTATTTTAAATTCCTTGCTAAGTACAATAACTATCCAATTAGAAGCATGTAAAAAAATGTAAAGAAAAATACAAACTGATGGAAGTACTCATAAAAAGCAGTTTGGGGAAGAAGACCCTTAGTTAGGGCTGAGAGTGTGGCTCATGTTTAGAGCATTTGCCTATACTTGCCTGAGTTTTAAGCCCAGGATTGCAAAAACCAACCAAACAAAGCCAACAAAACCAACCAAACAAAAACCCTTAGCTAAATCTGTAGTTCTTGGGGGAATGGTGAGGTTTTTAAAACTATTTTGAGTAATTTCACATTTGGAAAATGAAAATACTTGTAACTATATTATAGAAAATAAATCTTACCAAACAAAGAAACATAGATAATTGGATTTCATAAAAATGAAAAACTTGTGCTGGGTGTGGTGACCCATGCTGTAAATCTCAACACCTTGGGAGGCTGAAGTAGGAGAATCTCGAGTTGAGACTGTCTCAAATATAAACAAACGAACAGATATTTAAAAGTTGTGCTTCAATGAACATTAAAAAAGTGAAGACAACCAAAAGAATGGAAGAAAATGATATGTAAATCATACATCTGATAAGGGATGTGTGTTCAGAATAAAAAAACTCACATGCTTGACACTATTAGTCATAGCAGAAGTGCAAATCAAACCCCTAAAACAGTGTTTTACACCCCCCAGAATGGCTAGAAGCAAAAAGATACCAAGTGTTGGCAAGGATGTAGAGAAATCAGAGCCTTCCCATACTGTTCACAGTTTGTGGGAATGTTGAACAGTGCGGCCACTTTGGAAAACAATCTGGCAGTTCCTCAAATGATTAAACATCAAGTGACCATATGAATCAGCAGTTATAATCCTAGGGATATATCCAAGAGGAATGAAAATTTATGTCTGCACAAAAATTTGCATTAAGAATGTTCACAGCAGTATTTTTCATAATAACCAAAAGACAGAAAGTGTCTACTGATAAATGGCTAAACAAAATATGGCATACTCATCCAGTGCAATCATTTGACCATAAAGGAGGAGGAGCACTGGTTCACGCTACTGCATGGACGAGCCCATTATGCTAGGGGACATCAGGCATGAAAAGTCACCTATTGCAGGTTGCCTGTGAGAAGTCTGGAACAGGGAAATGTGGAAGAACAGAAAGTGGACTAGTGCTGGCTTAGCACTGGGGGGCAGACGAGAGGGGTGACAGCTAAAGAACAAGGGTTTCTTTTTGAGAAAATATTCTGAAAGTGTCTGTGGTGATGGTTGTGCTTATCTGTTGAGTATTGTGAATAAGTAAGTTCTTTGTGAATGATGAATCACATGGCTGCTCATTAAAAAAAAATCCCTTTGACTGTGAAGACGTGTAGAAGATTCACCATTCCTAACTGGGAAATGTGTGGGCAGCAGGAAGAGAAAGGAGTAGGGGGTACGAGTGGATGGAACAAGAGACTTTGGGGTTAATAATGAAAGAGGAAGGCTTTAAAGCTTAAGGAGGAGAAACCACCTCTAAGAAGGGCTAAGTTATGTGTAAGCTGAGTAGCACCAAAACCCCCAGAAGACCAGACATTAAATATTCAGGTTTGAGAAAAGGCTAAAGTTTGAAATAATTATCTTCTTACAAATGAAGATTAAAATAAGTAAATTACCATCATGAGAAGATTTTAAGGAACCAGTCCATGAAAAATTTAGCACTTGCTAGTGGAAAGTCATGTTCACCACTAGAACAAGTGAGAAACAGAACTTCCTTTTATGGGGATTTTTAAGGAGACAAATCACTGTCTATTTTCAATTGCTTAGTGGACAGCAGAGATCTGGTTTAGCCCAGCTCTGTTATCCCACAAAAAATGAGAACAGCCAGGTGTGGTGGTGCATGCCTGTAATTTCAGCCCTTGGGAGGCTGAGGCAGGAAGATCTCAAGTTAAGAGTCCAGCATGGGCTAGAGAGCGAGAGAGAGAGAGAGAGAGAGAGAGAGAGAGAGAGAGAGAGAGAGAGAGAGAGAGACACTGTCTCAAAAAAAAGAGGAGGAGGAGGAGGAGGAGGGAGAGGGGAGGGGAAATAGGGCAGGCAGTATTTGCCTTCCGAGCTTGTTCACACCTGTTTTGCTCAAATTTGCTCAATGATTTAGCTATACCAATGAATGAATCTTGGGTTTTTCTTCAGGACAGCAAATGTTTTGTTCACTGTCTCCGTCTTGGTATGGCTAAATTCTACTCAAGCTAAATGGAACCCCTCATGCAAATCATGACAAAATAAACCTGCCTTTTGAGGGCCCAAGTCTAGAGGACACCTGATTCCCTCCCCCCGCCCCCTACATACACATCATTCAGAAAATTTGAGCAAAGCATGTATGAACAAGCAGAGAAGGCAAGGACAGCCTGCCCTGTTTCCCTTCCCCTCTCCCTCATCCAGACCACAGCTCCACCAGAAAAACAGACTTTGAACCAGGCCCTTGGCAACTGCTTCCCCTCAAGCAGGACAAGTTTGCTTTTATCCCAACAGGCATTGTTTCTGTTCAATGGTTTATGATTAGCTCCAAATTGAACATGGCTATCTGAATATAAAGCAGAACTGACATTTTGAATAGAATAAACAGAGAACAATGGCTACTAATTTCATCAAAGCATGAAGTTGGCAGACAGACAATTACAAGATTGGACTTTAGTGACTCAACAGGAAACCCATTTTACAAGATGAATTCAACCCCTGCTTTAACTGGAAGCGTGGTAATACCATCTGCCACCTTTAGATGGCACCCTAGCTCCAGGCTGCTGGAAGTCTTTCAAGGACTGCATTTTAAAAACCTCTGCCTGACTCTGGCGACAGTTTTCTAAATCCCTAGGGAGTAAGAGTGATGGGAGACTGGTTATGTCCTTCAATGTAAAGACGGAAGCAGAGCTTATACTGGGACTTCACTTTTATTTTACTTTTTATTTTCTTTCTTTTTAGGGACTTCATTTTTTCCTTTGTTCTTCAATTTTGCTTGAATTGAGAGAAAAATTTTAATGATGGAGCTATCGATTATATAATTTTTAAAATGAAGAAAATCTGTGTTCCTTATTTACCTCAATTTCAGAAGATTTAATGGTTCCCTCAACTAGTTTATGCATTTAATAAGACACCTAATCCATTTTACTACCTCGGTTATACATTCATACAACACACTGAGTAGCCACTACGAAGCAGGATTTATACCAGGTGACTAAACAAAGGCCTTGCTCTAGAGGTGTCGGTGGTCTAACAGAAAACACTGAAGACAGAGCAAATACGAGTGGTCAGAGGTAGAGGACTAATTAAGCTCTGGAGCTAGGTGAACCCAGTTCAAATCCTGCCCAGGCTACTTATATTATGGTGATCCTGGGCAAACAACATAACTGAAGCATCAGTCCCTGCACCTCCAGAGCTGCTAATAGGATTAAGTGAGTTGTTAACATCCACAGGACACAGCCTGGCACACAAAATGTTTCCCAAATGAGGATAAAATCTAAAGTAGTGGTTAAGATGGACTCTAGGCTGATGGTACAATCCCTGATTCTGCCACATATCAGTGATGTGACCTTAGGGACATTCACCAAACCTTCCTGGGTCTTAAGTTTCCTGATCTATAAAATGAGGAACGTGCCTTCAGTGGGGTGGCTGGAAAACACACTTCAGACAATGCCGGTGTAAGGCAGACCCTCAGGACTTTCAGCTATGGTTACTCCTCGTGTGGTTCCTGGGAGACCACCAAAGGTAGCCAAAACTGAAGGAAAAGGCAGGTAAGTGTCACCAGTTACCTTGCTAACCAAGCCAGTCTATCTAGGAAGGTTCCCTGAGGAGAGATCTCTAAGAATGAAGAGGAATTAGGGGGAAGGAAAAAAGGAAGCAAAGGAAAGAAGGCAATCAAACAGCCAATTTGAAAGCAGCACAGGTACATAAAGCAGTTTTCTAAAAAGTGCGTACCACCCGAACGATGCCTAAGAGAGGCTGGCTGAGGGACCAGCAGAGAAAAGTCACAAGAGTCAGAAAGGTAAGGCCACAGGCATGGGGTGGAGAGCAGGAGAAGGAAGTGACTAGGAAGGACTGTGGAACAAAATGGAAAGGCAACAGAAGGCTCAGGTTTGCTGGGAATAAAGGCGGTGCTGTTTTCACTGTGGAATGTGGGAAAGAGCTCTAAGCCTTTCCACACTAAGTGCACAGGTCCTCCGGCTACTGCCCACAGGCTTGTCATTACATGGCTGTCTGACCTCTGAAGGGCTGCCTGCTAGTTCCGATTTATGGCCTGCCTGTTTGGACCGCAGTCTTGCCTCCTGCAGTGCTGTCCGGGACAGCACTGAGCAGAAGCACCACTTGGCACATGTCCAATCTTATGAATAATCCACGAGTCTGGCCTGGGTGGCAGAAGACTTGGGTTCCTGTCAGAGATGGGACACAAATTGGTCTTGATAGCATTAAACAAGCTCTTCAGGGAGCCTCAGTTTCCTTGTTTGACAGTGAGGACGGCAGGGGCTGTGCTTGTGGAGGTGTTACTGGAAGGTCAATGCACTAAAACACTTTGCATAGCGCATCCTAATGGCAAACAGCACCAGCAGGGAGAAGCACAGGCTTTGGAGCTGGAGAGACCAGGTTGTGGACATGCCCCATCTCAGCTGTGTGACCTCTGACCAAACTGCTATTCTCTGGGTCATGTTTCCTAAGTTGTAAAAATGGGCCATGCTCCTACCTTAGCTGTGCTAGTCCAATGATGAAATACAAACATGCACAGAAAAGCCTGACACAGTGTCTGCCATA